GTCCTCACAAAAGGAGACACTTTTGCTGCTGCTGCTGCTGCTGCTGCTGGTCTCTTTGGAATGAACATAAAGAGACAAAAAGGACTAAAAGGGAGACAATGGAGAAGTTAAAAGGAGACAAAAGGAGACAAAAAGAGACAAAAAGGAGACAAAAAGGAGACAAATGGAGACAATGGAGGGTTGAAGAAGTTTGAAGGAGACAGAAAGATATTAGAGGAAATTTAAAAGAAGTGGAAGAGATAAAAGGAGACAAAAAGGGGACAAAAAAGGAGACAAAAAGGAGACTCAAATGGAGATGAAAGAAACAAAAAGGAGACAAAAAAGAAACAACAAAGGAGACAAAAAAAGGGACAGAAAGGGAAAACGAGGGACAATAAAGGAGGCAAAAAGGGACAAAAAGGGAGACAAAAGGAGACAAAAAAGAGACAAAAAAGAGACAAAAAAGAGACAAAAAAGAGACAAAAAGGGACAAAAGGGAGGATAAAAGGGGACTGGGGAGGGAGCAAATTGGAAGAGACAAAGGAGACACCAAGAGGGACAAAAGGAGACAAAAAAGGGACAAAAAAGCAGACAAAAAGGAGACAAAAAAGGCCCGAAGGAGACAAAAAAAGAAAAAGAAAAAAAGAGACAAAAAGAGATAAAAAGAGACAAAAAAGTTTACAAGAAATTTAAAAGGAGACACCAAGAGGGACAAAAGGAGACAAAAAAGGGACAAAAAAGCAGACAAAAAGGAGACAAAAAAGGCCCGAAGGAGACAAAAAAAGAAAAAGAAAAAAAGAGACAAAAAGAGATAAAAAGAGACAAAAAAGTTTACAAGAAATTTAAAAAAAGAGACAAAAGAAGATAAAAGAGACAAAGCAAGAAGGGACTGAAGGAGACAAAAAGACTTCGGAGGAGACTGAGAAGAAAGGAGACAAAAAGAGACAAAAATAAAATAAAATAAAAAGAAATGAAGTTAATAGAAATAAATAAAAAGAAACAAAACGAAATAAAGAACTAAAACAAATAATAGTAAAAAAGAAATAAAAAGAAATAAATAAAAAGAAATAAAAAACAAAGAAATAAAAGGAGACAGAGAGGTGGTGTCTCCTTTCAGCAGCAAAAGTTGGATTTCTGCTGCTGCTCTGTGTCTCCTTTTGCTGCTGCAGTGTTCAGTGTGTCTCCTTTGTGTCTCTTTATCTCTTTTTGTTTCTTTTTATTTCTTTTTTATTTCTTTTTATTTCTTTTTTATTTCTTTTTTATTTCTTTTTTATTTCTTTTTTATTTCTTTTTGTCTCCTTTTGTCTCCTTTGTTTCTTTTGTCTCTTTGTTTTATTTATCTTTTTTAGGGCCTGGTGTCTCCTTTTAGTTGCCCTTTGTTTGCTGTGTGCAATCTCTTCGTTAGGGTTTAGGGTTTAGGGTTTAGGGTTTAGGGTTTATGCTTGTTTGTTGTTATGAGGGCAGCAGCAGGCCGTTTGCTGCTGCTGCTGCCGCTGTAGATCAGGTTGCTGCTGCAACGGCTGCTGCTGCTGCTGCTGGCTTGCTGCTGTGGTGGTTTAGGGTTTAGGGTTTAGGGTTTATGTTTGTTGTTATGAGGGCAGCAGCAGTGCCTTTGCTGCTGCTGCTGCCGGTGCATATTAGAGTGCTGCTGCTGCTGGTTTGCTGCTGCTGGATTGCTGCTGCCAGCGCAGCTGCAGCAGGAGGGGGTCTAGTCCCGCTTCTGCAGCAGCAGCAGCAGCAGCAGCAGCGGCGTCAGCAGCAGCAGCGGCGTCAGCAGCAGCAGCAGCAGCAGCAGCAGACTTTGCTGCGGCTTCTCGCAATGTTTTTAAGAGAACGCAGAGCAATTGCTAGACTGTTCCGGTTTAGAGTTAAGACTTTAGGGTTTAGGGTTTAGGGTTTAGGGTTTAGGGTTTAGGGTTTAGGGTTTAGGGAGTGGCGCGTAGGCGAATATGGCATGCTCAGGATTGGAGGCTGCATCACCACGCTAGGGTTTAGGGTTTAGGGTTTAGGGTTTAGGGTTTAGGGTTTGGGTTTAGTGCTTAGGGTTTGCGTTTAGTGTGTAGAGTTTGAGTTTCGCGTTTAGAATTTACAGTCAGGAGTTTGGTGGCTGCAGTTTAGGGTTTGAGGGTGAGGGTTTAGGGTTTAGGGTTTGCCACTGCTGCTGCTACTGCTGCTGCTGCTGCTGTTGCTGCTGCTGCTGCTGCTGCTGCTGCTGCTGAGTGTGTCTGCAGCAAAAGTGGGGCCCCTCTGCTGCTTTTGTTTGTTTAAATTTGTTAAATTAAATTAATTTATTTATTTAAATTAAAAAATAAATAAATTAAATAAAAAAGAAGAAAAAGGCAGCAGCAGCAATCGACGGCAGCGGCTGGCGAGCGCTGAGTCCGGCCAAACCCTAAACCCTAAACCCTAAACCCTAAACCCTAAACCCTCAAATTTGGGGCTTTTTCTTCGGCTCTTCAGCATTTCAAACAACATTTTAACATTTTGTCCATTTTAGGGTTTAGGGTTTAGGGTTTGAAGTCCCTGGAGGCCCCTGATCGGCTGCAATTACCCCAGAGTGACCATTGGTTCGCCTGCTGCTGCTGCTGCTGCTGCTGCTGCTGCTGCTGCTGCTGCTGGCCTCTCCAGAGTCTCTACCAGGAGTTTGATTTTTTTCTGAAATATAACTCATCAGCCGCAGCCACACCGGCTGCTGCTTGGACAGCAGCAGCAGATATTCTTGCTGCTGCTTGAGAGCCTGAGCGTTCGAGGAGACACACCATGCGCGGTCTTCGGAGAGCAGCAGCAGCAGCAGCTGCTGCTGCTGCTGCTGCTGCTGGGGCCTTCCTTATAGTGAGTCAGGGAGCCCTAGCATCCCCAGCCTCAGCAGCAGCAGCAGCAGCAACAGCAGCAGCAGCAGCAGCAGCAACAGCAGCAGCAGCAGCAATCTAATTGCAGTGACTGCGCCCATGTGCCTCAGACGGAGACTGTCTCCGGCTCAAGTGTCTCCTTTGGTACCTTCTCTAGGACATCTCCAGGGGCCCCCTCTGGGGGCCCCCCCGGGGGCCCCTCTGGGGGCCCCTCTGGGGGCCCCTCTGGGACCCCCCCCGGGGGCCTTTCCAGGGGTTCTTCTGGGGGCCCCTCCAGGGGGCCCCTTGGGGCCCCCCCCGGGGGCCCCCCAGGGGGCCTCCCTGGGGGCCCCCCCAGGGGCCCCCCCGGGGGCCCCCCGGGGGGCCCCCCGGGGGGCCCCCCGGGGGCCCCCCGGGCGTCTCTGAAGTTGGAGAACCCGCACGACCCTCTGTATGGAGGGTCGAGGAGACTGGTGGGGGGCCCCCGACGAAGTGTCTCCTTTGAGCAGCTGGCAGCAGCAGCAGAGAGCAGCAGCAAAACTTTTGTGTCTGCTGCTTACCAAGTCAGTGTCAAAAGCAAAGAGACCCATCTTCTTATTGAACAACTTCGCAGCCAGGGGGCCCAGGGGGCCCCCCGGGGGGCCCCCCGGGGGGAGACGGGAAAGGAGACACTAAAGGGGACAGGGGAGGAGACAGAAGAGGAGACGGAAAATAAAGGGGAAAGTGGAAATGAAAATGAAAGGGAAAAGAAAAGGCAAAAGGAGACAAAATGGAAATCCAAAAAGGAGACAAAAAAATGGATTCCGCAGACTTTCCGGAAAGTGTCCCTTGCTGAACAAGGTGAGGAGACACCTGGGCCCTTTTGTGTTTCTTTTCTCTCCTTTTAAAATTCTTTTCTTTTTTGTCCCCTTTTTAATCTCTTCTTTCTTCTTTTTTTGTCTCCTTTTTGATCTCTTCTTTCTTCTTTTTTTGTCTCCTTTTTCATGTCCCTTTCTCTCTTTTTTGTCTCCTTTTTAATGTCCTTTTTTCCTTTTTTGTCTCCTTCTTCATGTCTCCCCTATTGTCGTTTTTGTCCCCTTTTCGTTTCCTGTTTTGCTTTTTTAGTTTCCCTTGTGTCCCCTTTTTGTCTCCTTTTTGTCTCCTTTTTGTCTCCTTTTTGTCTCCTTTTTGTCTCCTTTTTGTCTCCTTTTTGTCTCCTTTTTGTCTCCTTTTTGTCTCTCCAGGATTTAAAGTGTTTAAAAGTGTTTAAAAGAGTTTAGAATTGTTTAAAAGGTTTTGAAAGGGTTTAAAAGGGTTTTTAAACCTTCACGAGGTTTCAAATTATTTCAAGGGGTTTTTGAGGGTTTTAAAAGGGTTTAAAAGGTTTGAAAAGGGTTTAAATGGTTTCAAAAGCCTTTAAAAGGGTTTAAAAGGGTTTAAGAGGTTTAAAAGGGTTTAAAAGGGTTTAAAAGGGTTTAAAAGGGTTTAAAAGGGTTTAAAAGGGTTTAAAAGGGTTTAAAAGGGTCTAGATGATTTTAAAAGGTTTTAGATGATTTGGAACGACTTTAAAAGGGTTTAAAAGGGTTTAGATGATTTGCAAAGAGTTTAAAAGGTTTTAAAAGGGTTTAAGAGGGTTTAGAAGGGTTTAAAGGGTTTTAAAAGGGTTTAAAAGGGTTTAAAAGGGTTTAAAAGGGTCTAGGCGAGTTTAAAAGGTTTTAAATGATTTCGAAAGGCTTTAAAAGGGTTTAAAGGGTTTAAAAGGGTTTAAAAGGGTTTGGAAGGGTTTAAAAGGGTTTTAAAAGGGTTTTAAAAGGGTTTTAAAAGGATTTAAAAGGGTTTAAAGGGTTTTAAAAGGGTTTAGAAGGGTTTAAAAGGGTTTAAAAGGGTTCAAAAGGGTTTAAAAGGGTTTAAAAAAGCTATCTATTTGCTGCAGGTGTCTCCTATTACGGGATTGACTCGAACACGAGCAGCGGGGCGCAGGCGTACGTGGACCTGCAGTGTACGTACACCGGAGAGGCGGCAGGTGTCTCCTTCGTTGTGGGGCGTTTTCGAAAGGAGACAAATCAGTTTTATTGTTTTATGGAAAGTGAAATAGACCTTTTTCGGAGAAGTCCGGAGTGCATTGACTCCTGCATGCAGCCCCTGCCTTGCCAGGGGGCCCTCAGTCTCCAAACTGTCTCCAAATTAAAAGGAGACACTTTTCGCAAAGAGAGACACCTCAGCCTCGACCCTGACCTTCTTCTCTCCGAGTTCTGTCGTCAGCTCCTCACTGTCTCCGTTTTTATTTCTTATTTATTTATTCTTTATTTATTTATTTATTTATTATTTATTTATTTATTTGTTTATTATTTATTTATTTGTTTGTTTATTTATTATTTGTTTGTTTGTTTGTTTGTTTGTTTGTTTGTTTATTTATTTATTTATTTGTTTGTTTGTTTGTTTGTTTGTTTGTTTATTTATTTGTTTGTTTGTTTGTTTGTTTGTTTATTTCTGCTGTCTCCTTTTAGTTGTCTCTTTGTTTGTTTGCAGTTTATTTCTGCTGTCTCCTTTTAGTGGTCTTGTTTGCTTTTGTTTGTTGGTTTGTTTTTACTGTCTCTTTTTAACTGTCTCTTTTTAACTGTCTCTTTTTAACTGTCTCTTTTTAACTGTCTCATTATTTCCTTCTCCATTTGTTGTCTCCGTCTTCAACTGTCTCCTTATTTTTCTGAATTCCTTTCTCAAGTGTCTCCTTTCTTAATTGTCTCTTTTTTTATATTTTTCTGTCTCCTTTTCTCAATTGTCTCTTTGTTTTTATTTCTGATGTCCTCTTTACTTCAACTGTCTCCTTTCTTAATTGTCTCCTTTTATTTTTCTGTCCCTTTTACTTCAGTTGTCTCCTTTGTTTCTAACTTTTTCTTTTAATTGTCTCCTTTCAGTCTGATGTTTCTGGTCTCTTCAACTGTCTCCTTTTTATTCTTTGTTTTCTTTTAATTTAATTTAATTTATTTTATTTTAATTTAATTTCTTTTAATTTATTCTTTCCTCTAGATAATAAAAGGAGACACTTTGACTCAGAAAGGAGACACTTCTAAAACGGAGACACTCAGAGCAGCACAGCAGCCCCTGCCCCTCCAATCAAATCTCTCTATCCTCCGCTTCTGCTGCTGCTCCTTTGCTGCTGCTGCTGCCTTGCTGCTCCCTTGCTGCTGCTGCTGCTGCTGCTGCCTTGCTGCTGCTGCTGCTGCTGCTGCTGCTGCTGCTGCTGCTGCTGCTGCTGCTGCAGACACTTCTCGGGTGCAGAAGACTCTGGACGCTTTGTGCGGGCCCTCTGCGGTGGCGCGAAGAGACTCTTCGGACTTGTGGCGATGTGTGTCTCCTGTCTCCTTTTCGGAGGCCTTTTTGGCCCCCCAAGAGGGTACTGCGGGGGCCTCCGGGGGGGCCCCCGGGGGCCCCCAGGAGGAGACACAGGGGGCCCCCGAGGGGCCCCAAAAGGAGACAACTGTCTCCTTCAGTTGGCTGCTGCAGGACAAGACCTGCGTCGACGACTGTGGGGCCCCTGTCTCCTGCTACGGCCAGCCCACAACTCCGGGGGGGACTATTCTTGCGGAAGGAGACAATGTTGTCACTCAGCTCTCCAAGCAGTTCTGCCGTCAGTCCCCTTTGCTGCTGCTGCTGCTGCTGCTGCTGCTGCTGCTGCTGCTGCGGTGTTTCTGCGGTTTTTGCTGCTTTTTTCGCGCCGTTTTTGCTGCTGCTGCAGCAGACGCAGCAGCAGCTGCAGCAGCTGCTGCTGCTGCTGTTGGTGCGTGTTTTCTGCGCTGGCTGCCTCCTCCTTCCCGCCGCACTTGCTGCTGCTGCTGCTGCTGCTGCTGCTGCTGCTGCTGCTGCTGCTGCTGCTGCTGCTGCTGCTGCTGCTGCTGCTGCTGCTGC